TTTTTGAATTTTGAGGTGTATATTGTTGAGGCTGTTTTAGGTTGAGTGGTAGAGTAAGCCTCTTCAGGGATGAGGGTTGAATAATTTTAATGATGTAGAAGATAAATTAAGTACATTTACTGCAGATGATATATGTAGATTAGTATAGAGGAAAGAGTAAAATAAGTGTATGAAAAATAGGGGTAATTATGAGTTTTGAATTTTTAAGTGTATATTATTGAGGCTGCTTTAGGTGTGAGGTTGAGTGGTAGGATAAGCCTCTTCAGGGATGAGAGTGGAATAATTTTAATGATGTAGAAGATAAATTAGGTGTATGTACCGAAAATGATATGTACAATAGTATAGAAGAAAGAGTAAAATAAATTTATGAAAACTAGGGGTGGTTTGTTTGAGAGATTATTACATTGAATAATACAAGAAAAAGGAAGAGTATGGAAAAGGAAGTATAAAACAAAGGAACCAAGTAATTTCTTGAACTAACAAATAATTTTGGTTATTATTTTTCTTAAAGTACATAATGCCACGCTTACTTATTACTTTAGAATTTTTAAAGTTCACCGGGATTGACTCAAATTGAGAGTCGGAAACATTGCAAACCAAATAAAATGGGTCTCCAATCCCTTCCAAATTTGTCTCCAATTCAAATCAGATCAAATTATAGTCTTAATAAAATAAAAGTATATGCGTAAGCGTGAAGAAACTTGCAGCACGAGCAAAAGTAATTGTCAGTAAAATATCTCTACTTCTATTTCTTCCCTTAATACACTTCACAAGTTCCTCTAATCTAGAACAATCTGAACAATATCGTGTAAGATAATTTAAATGCTCATACTTATACTGTCTAAAATATTTCATCGTGCAGACTAGACTTTAAAAGCATGTGGTTGAAAGTATGCGCAACAGAGAAGACGAACGGGAATTGCAGGGTTTACGTAAAGAAAGCCTTCACGAAACGGGAGGGAGATAAATTCCAAAACGAGCGGAACGATCTTCCCTCGTTGGCGCGAATAGCGTTTTCCTTCGTTTCGCGAGTAAACAACAACAAGGTCCGAGAAACATCAGAGACACCTCTTATTTTACGATCGACGTGTCACTGCGTTGTAACACTTTCTCCTCTTTCTACGAAACGGCCGATAAAAGAATAGCCCGACGCACGAATGACGGCGAGGGGGCAGGAATAATTGAAGAATCGAGCGAGCAACGAAGATACAACGTCGCGAAGGGTACGATCGTTTGTGTAATTCGAACCTCACGTCCCGCGAGATGCTCGTGGCACTGATCGATGCACCGTGATATACAGGATGCGGCGCAAAAATTGCGGTGCAATCAGGAACCGAGACGATTCCTCTAACAAGCCTGAATCGCGACGTTAGAAATCATTCGCACGGGCTCTCGTAATTCAGGAAAACATTTCAGGGTTGTACGATGACGAATTTACTTTGGATAGTTAATTTTATGTTGGAAAGTTGGTATTTTTTTTTTTATGTGTTTATGGAGGTGTTTATGTTACTATTTTCTGGGAAGCATTCTTTTTCTTTGTATGTCTCGGTATTCGTTATGAGCTCTGTGTTCTGAGTTATTCTTTATTCGTAATTTGTCGTTCATTATTCATTAGAAGTATTAGAAACGTTTTTATAGTAACAAATATTCGTTAAAAAGAATTCTTGTAATTAGCAAAATGTATCAAATTTGGCTAATTTTCAGTTAAAAATAACTCAAGAGTAGACCTAAAGAAATTTTATTCGTAAATAACGAATAAAAATATAAGTTTAACTCACACATCTAGGTTTTACTCCCTTGAATACCAGTATGCAAAAATCTCTTAATTATTTTTAAATCACGAATGAGTCGTAAAGAGACCACACCTAGACATAGTTCATTCGTAAATAACGAATAAAAATATCAGATTCATACACACACTGATGGCTTCACTCTTGAATACCAGTAGGCAAAAATTCCTTAATTATTTTTAAATCACAACCGAAACATAAATAGTTATCTTCTCTACTCTTCCCTGCGAGTGAATGAAACTCATTCGTCATCTTCGACTAAACCACCAGCTCCGTTGGAGAGCCATCTTGACCAGCGATCGAACGACAAACAAACAGGGTTAAGTTCGTTGCACCTGTACACGCCGTGGCCGAGGAAGATCGAAGCGAGATGAGACGCGTTCGGATTTCCCCGTGTCTGAGTAGTTGAAACCTAACTGGCGTCATTGAAGCGTATCAGAATCGCGTGCCGTAAAAGCGGGGATGCACAAAGGAAAAGAGATTGCCAGAACGAGGCTAGGCCGCTGCATCCGGTCGCACAGCTGACCTTGACTTGCTCGTTCTATTCTTCAGCGATCGACAGCGACCACCGAACGCATCGAACTATCGAGATACCCGCCACCTGTCGCGATTACTATCGAGCTCGAGGATCGACCACAACCGCCGATGATCTATTCCCTTCGGCTTCCTCCTCCTGGCCCCCCCCCTGTCCCCCCTAACCTCCTTGGCTCTCTTTTTACCCCCATGGACCCGTCGGTGGTGAAGCACGCGGCCACGTTCGACGTTTTCGTCGCTGACGTCCACGGGGCGGTGTATTTTTCACGCCATCGAGTGGATAAATCGATACTCGACGGGCTCTTACGTTGCCATTATCGTGGGTGTATCGATTTGTTACGACACGGTGTACCATTCATTAGTTGCGCCGCGAGATGTATTACGGATCGTTTGTTCTGTCCGTGTTTCTTAACCCTTTCATGCCTGGCTTCCGCTGCAGGGAGCTACGAAGATTGCTTCTGAGCGATGTTCCTGTTGGGATGGACATCAGTCTTGGGGCTTGTAAAGTGTGTACTGATTTCGTGATTCCGTTTAGTTGCTTCGTGTTACTTTTGAGGAATCTTATAACGGTTTTCCGGCGGGATTTTGTGTGCTGGATGACTTGGGGTAGATATTAGTCGGTTGTTTTATTGGGGCGATGGTACCATGGCTTCTGTTATGGAATTTGGGTGAGTTAGGATGTGTAGATTGGGGAAAGTTGGACAAATTATGAAAGAAATGAAATATTAATGTGAAATTTTTTGTTGGTATACAAAATAATTGTATTTCTTTTAATTGGTAGGGTTGTAGCTCGGGAAAAGTTTGGGTAACGTTTGGAAACATTATGAAAGAATTGAATGATTTATGTGAAACTCAATATTTTTGGTATACAAAATAATTGTACTCTTTTTAATTGGTAGGGTAGTAGCTCGGGGAAAGTTTGGGTAACGTTTGGAAAAATTATGAACGAATTGAAAGATTTATGTAAAATTCAATATTTTTGGTATACAAAGTAATTGTACTCCTTTTAATTGATGGGGTAGTAGCTTGTAATGCTTTTCCTCGTGAACATGTATTCTTTTTTTATATTACGAAGAATTTCTATTTATATTAACCTAAGTGAATCTTCCACGTTCTTCTTGTTTCTATTTATTCTCATCCTGGATTTGTCTGGAATTATTCAATCACATATTCTCTAATTCAAGCAGTAATAAATTTGTATGCATATAAACAACCGGTAAGTTTGAAAGCTAGAATACAATTTCTGTAATGGTTCTATTCTTTTTCCTGATTATTCAATGAAATATCATTTAATTCAAGCGAGAAGTAACTAAATAGTTTCTTTGGATAGGTTTTAAACGGGCCACGTCGTATTATGCGCTCTCGGTGTTTGCCCAATTCCGTATGTAAAACGAATTACGTAATCGAGAAATCAAGCGTGATGTAAAAAGAGGAGCGCGTCTAGACAGTAGAACGTAAAGGAAAGATTGTTTGCTTTTTCAGTGACGCATTCTTTCCCAAGAATGCACGGGCGTACGAGAAGGAAGAGCGTACGCCAGCGTCGAACGAGAAGCCGTGGACGAAGTGGACAGAGTCGTTTTGAGATTTCTTGAGTTTCGCAATAAAAGACAGATCGACGTGGAGGAAGTTCAGGTTCAGCTCGCGAGAATTTCATTGCACGGCGCATTAAAATAATGGGTTCGTTCAACTGTGTTTACCTTCCATGCAACTTTGTCGTAACGTCGAGGGTTTATCTTCGCTTTATGTACGTCGCCCTTCAGGTACAATTTCAATCTGAATGGAAAGGGATTTCATTGCTTTCAGGCTCCCG